TAGAATTACAAAATATTAGACATGTCAACTAGCCTACTTAATTTTTATAGTTGACTCTTGCCTGAATTAAGGCCTTTTTGTTTCTGTGTTGACTTATTTAGCCAATATCCATTACAAAATGTTCTGTTTTTAGGCTAAATTCGCCAATAATCCCACAAACAAATAAAAAATATCAAAATAAAAATCCTAATAATCCTAACATTTGAAGTGGATCATCAAAGTTGTGCTTAGATGAACGCATTTTGGTTTTAGGGCAACTTTAATGAAAGGTTTTGATCCACTTCAATTGTTGACTAGTGTATATTAACATATATATATATATATATTTACATATATATATTTTTTTGTCACTCATGGACATATATAAATATTTATGAGCTATGAGAACCTAATTAATATTGCTGCTTCTGTTTTTAATGCTTAATAAAACACTTTTGAGTCAAGGCTCATTAGAAATAATGAGTATATTATGCATAAGGATTATTACATAATCCCTCCAAAACAAATATTTCATCAGGTTTTTGATGCAAGTTAAACCACAGGTGCTCATTTAGGTGAATGATGGAGATAAAGATGGAGAGAGGAGAGTTCACCGAGTTCACTGAAAGTCCTTGCGGTCCGCTGCCTGTGAAAGTGAACAGGCAAACTGTACAAGTGATAAATCTCTGCAGCTCAAGCCTGGAGGGCTGCAAGATGCACGTTGTGCTGTGACAAGTCATAACCGTCCTCACCGCAGCCTTGAGCTCAGCAAGGTCAGCAGATCACGGCCCCCCTCATCTCATGACTGCTCCTGTCCGCTCTCACCTCGCCTGTCCAGATGGCCTTCTGGGAAAGAGTGAAACCCAGTGCCAGGTAAATCTAGTTTTAAGTAAACAGAAAGAAAATGAAATGTTGTTCAACTTTTCCGAGCAAATTTTGAATTGAACTAAACAGCTGATAAAAACACAACAATAAGCCACAAGTAATCCACACATGACTCCATTAGACGTGACAGTCGTGGCCTTATGGATTGGGAGTCGGACTGGGAGTTGGATGGGTTAAATGCAGAGCACAAATTCTGAGTATGGGTCGCCACACTTCACTCACTTATTAACGTCTTGTGAAGTGAAAAGCTGCACCTTTGTAAGAAGCAAATCTATTATTAAAAAAATTCACATCATAATTTTCTCACTATCATGTTACCATCAGTGTAAATTATGAACTATCCCTTGAAGGGATTTGAAACTGTTGCTTCTGGCCAAAATATAATCCATAATACTACTTCCTCAAGTGAAAAAGTCAATCCCCTGTTGTCCTCGCACATCAAAAATCCACTGACATATTTGTTTATAACTGATTTGGACAGCTGAATTTGATGCTTGATATGTGCATATTTCTCTCACGATTCAGACAAGACCACTTTTTCACTGGAGAAAGCAGGATATAGTACTTGTATTTCAGCTTAAAGCAGCGGTTTGAAGTTACACATCTTAATGGATAAATTTTTTTACAAACAGCTTTTTACTGGAGTGGAGTTTTAATGGAGTGAGGTTGTGTGGACTACTTTTCGATTATTATTCTGACGGCACCCATTCACTGCAAATGATCCATTGTTGAGCAAGTGATGCTAAATCTCTCTAACTCTGTTCTGTTCTGATGAATAAAAAGAGTTAATTTTCAGCAAATTTTCATTTCTGGGTAAACTTTTCCTTTAAAGTCAACAGGAAATTGAAACATTATAAATAATACTTTCCAAATTGTTTGTTTGTTGTATTGTTCTGCAGATGTCATGTATAGGCCATGAAAGATATTGAATAGCTGTGTTCAGTGGATGAGAGAAAGTTTGGAGACAAATTAAGGTTAGAAAATTATTTTCACTTTTGAGTACCCTATGTGAATTAATACAAATAAACATTTGCAATAGTATTAATAATCAGGGGTGCACATAAGTGGTACGCTGGTCCAAATGCGCTGTGTAAATAACTTCTGACAGTGCATTTGCATACCGACATGGATGACAGCTGTTAATGCACAATTACCATTTTAGATCAACAAACTGTACTATATAAGATTTCTATTCAAACTGAAAGCATAAATAAAAGTTTGAAAATGATGAAAATTCATATATATATATATATATATATATATATATATATATATATATACATACATACATACAGGACGTTTTCTCCTTTGTGGGTTTGAAAAAGAAAGAGAAAAAGAGAATATTCAAACTGAAAGCATAAATAAAAGTTTGAAAATGATGAAAATTCATATATATATATATATATATATATATATATATATATATATATACATACATACATACAGGACGTTTTCTCCTTTGGGGGTTTGAAAAAGAAAGAGAAGTGCATTGAAACAACACCAGGGCGAGTAAATAATGACTGAATTTTAATTTTTGGGTGAACTATATCAAATTAATTTGAATTAAATGTATTACTTTTTTTTGCAAGAATCATGGCAATGGCAATACCATTGCAACTCCACTGTACATGGTGCCTACAAATGCCCTTTAGCTGTGACATTCATCAGACTATATTCTTCATGTTTTTTTCTATAAAGGCACAGATGGACAAATTAAACGGGTAAGAAAAAGAGGAAGAGAACAGTAATAGCATTCATGAAGAAAACAGTTGAGGAACAGTGGAAAGAGCTCACAAAGCATGATCAAAACATTATTTTATTAGAAAAGAAAAGCATTAGAAACACTTCGCACCCGTTCAGTGCCAGCATGTTGGAATATCTCATATTTAGGATGCCACGCAAGTTAAATCTCCAGCACAATGATTCAGTTACACCATGAAATGCACAAGACACAAATCTGCAGATGTAGATATTTCAATGACATAATCAACACCAGATATATTTGTTATGTAATTCATATCTACAATACCTACTTCATAAAAAACAATAATATGTCATCAATATTCATGGGAACGACAAAAAAATAAATCAATTATCCTTGATGGTACACTCACTCCACATCTCAAGTGGCACAGAGAACATGTTCATTCTACTCTTTACTGAATAACAGACGAAAGAGGATGTATTTTTTGTTGAATGTTCATATTCTTCAATTATAAAATACAATCTCATATGATGTGAAGAGGGTTGGAGTGTAATGTTCTGAAAAGCAAACCATCTATTAAGTCTCTCATAAGGCTAATGAGCTCTGGCACACCTGCGCTCCTGCTAATCGTCCCGCACACATGAACGGGACGAAGCGAGATGGGCAGGAAGAGAGAGAAAACATGAGAGCGGATGAAAGTTTATGGAGAAAGCGCAAGATATTTATGCTACTCAAGGGCATTTTGAGAGAATTTTGAGAAGGCCGGTCTGTAACTACACACTCAAATTAATTCGTATATAACCGACCAGAGAACCATTAAAATGCAGTAACAAGTGAAGTGCATGATCATGAAGAGCTGAAATATATGAAAGCCCATTTGACATGGAATAAAAAAAGACTTTTCTGAAAAATAAGATATATTTTTTTCAGAATTTTTTCAATTGTGAGATATAAAGTTTACATCGCACTTACAAGTTTACATTTAACAATTCTGAGTTTATATCTCAATTCAGTTTTTTTAGAATTGTGAGTTTATAATTGCAACTTTTTATTTCTAATTAAATTAATCTAAATTAATTCTCAGAATTGCAAGATATAAATTCAGAATTCTGACAATTTATCACAATTCTGACTTATTTTCTCAGATTTCTGTTTATATCTCGCAATTCTGAGTTTATAGCTCGCAATTCTGCATTTATATCACGGAAATCTGAGATTATATCTCATAATTCAGATTTTTTTTCTTTTAAAAGTTTATAATTGCAACGTTTTATCTCATAATTCAGACTTCTTTTCTAAGAATTCTCAGAATTGCGAAATATAAACTCCGAATTACAAGATATAAACTCCGAATTCAGACTTCTATCTCACAATTATTTTTTCCTCAGAATTCTGCGTTTATATCTCGCGATTTTGAGTTTATATCTCGGAATTCTGAGATTACATCTCGCAATTTAGATTTTTTTTTATAATTTCAACTTTTTATCTCAAAATTCAGACTTTAAGAATTCTCGAAGAATTCTAGAAACTTAGAATTCAGACTTTTATATTTATATTTATAATTCTGACTTTGTTCCTTAGAATTCTGCGTTTATATCTTGCAATTCTGAGTCTAAATTGTGAGATAAGTATTCACAATTACATTTTTTTTGTATCCCATGATGGAAAAAAAGCTTCCATATAAGGATTAGATATAAAATAATACTGTATATAGGCTACTACATCTAATATTTTTCTTTGTGCTCTCACTAGAAGCACCAGATTGATTTGGTGATTGTAGCTGACCAATGTAAGATATATGAAAGTAAATATTGTACTCAAGAGGTCAAGGTTCAGCTATAGTTTACTTAACCAGGTTATACGATAGGCCTCATTAAGCCTTCCATCAAGGCTGTTAGTAGCAAGGAATAGATGCCGAACTGACTATGAGCAAAGCTGACGTATTTGAAATCACATACTTTTAGGAAGTGCAGTTGTGATGGATGGAAATGCTAACAGATAGCTTTCTCCAGATATTATAGACCTTCTTGACCGTAATGCCTAATAAAGGCTACTAAAATTGTGAATAAAAATAAATACCAACATACTGTACTGTTGTCCATAAAGTCTCATAAAAATACCTTGTATGTTTGAATAAATAAATCTTTTGTCTAAAAAAATTACAGCACCGCTCCTTTAATACATTTTTTACACATAATTAGTTTAGGCCCATTCTATTAGCATGTTGTTGGAGTTCCTTTCCCTCTCATAAGATGGCTTGACACAGCATACTTACGGCTTCGCTTATTTTCATGGGGCAAGACCTCATTCTGTCTATCAATTAAGTTAAAGATTTCCTGAAAAAGGTTCTCTATGAGTGCCTGAAGCCATCCACATCAAAGAGCCATCAGTCTGAGCAGCTTGCTAAAATTATTATATGACTGGAAGTCACAATTTCCTAGTTTGGGGACTGTGTATGGTTGTGTTTTGCAATGCGGGGCTATGTTTTTCAATGGAGGGACAGATACTGGCATGTAATGAGTTGTGCCGGAAGCAAAACGTGACGAAAGATGACAAAATTTATGAAGTATGTCGACAGAATGTCCATTCTTTCCACCTAAATGACTTCCACTTATCTGGATAGGGGAGTAATTAATATATCCGTAAAGCCTAAAACCTGAGTTATTCAAAATAGTTCGTTAGAAAGACCACAACAATAAACATTGAAAAAGTAAATTGTGTACCATTGACATTTAGATTATTTGCATGACTATAGCTACTCTATATACTCATGAGATGTATATCCTGTATGTGTACCAATATATTAGTTGTTATTTCATATAGGACCATTTTTGTGTTCTGGTAGGTAAGTTTCGGTGTGACACTTGTAAGCACAACGGTCTCGGCTAGTGATCGATAAGTCGGCGATATGTTAGTTTAAAAACAAAAGCAGTCGACAGACTGTCAACCAGTTCTGAGAAACGACTTCTCTTTTCTCCATTAGAGAACAAAAACACCACGTATCTGGATTTCTCTTGTGTTTTGAACCGTTTGCCACTCGTTTTTGTTTCTTGTGTTACCGTTCTGAGGCGGTCGAAGTCCACAGAGGTGAGCTGAAATGAACAATACTCGAGACGTAGTGATGGCAGCGAAGTGGCTGTGTCCCTCTCCACTCCTCTTCCTCCTGAACTCCAAAATGAAAGTTGGTGGAATGGAGTTTTACAGTGGGACGTCCTGCCCGCAATGCTACACACTGACCCACGCGGGGTCACAAGAGATCTTCGTAGTCGAGGAGTTTTGAGTGCTGCCGGGTTTTCCAAAGTCGAAACAGACGGAAGTCAAAGTACATCTCAATCATCTCTTTGCCTAAAAGAGAGGGAAATAGAGAGGGAGATATGAGTCTGGAATACAATTGGTGAATTCAATGTGAACACGTCTCTCTATGATGCACAGACACTTCCATATAGATTTGCTCAGACCATAATTGGAAAACAGCATGCAGTGGGCGATAATATAGATAAAGAGAGATGAGAGAGAAATTATAGAGAATGAAGAGAGAAAATTGAGAGTCAAAGAAAGAGAGGTGGGTTGTTCAGTCGGCCCAGGACAGGTGAAAATAAACGAAGAAAAAGACCTGTAAACTTCCTTTAAATTGTTTACTATAAAGGCATGTCAGTAAAGATGAAAATTACCCATTAAGTAAAAATGTATCATCATACTCGCCGTCACGCCATTTCAAACCATATGGGTTTGGTACAACATGAGGGTGAGCAAATGCCAAAATTCGATTCCTTAAATCATACGCAAAGAGAGTCAGTAGACATACCTTCACACTTTTAAGGCTGATGAGAATTTTTAATGTTTTTGAAAGAAGCCTCAAGGGTGCATTTATTTTATTTAAAAATGCAGTAAAATCCAGTAAAATATAATTAGAATTTAAAAGAACTATATTTTATATAATATATTTTAAAGCATTATTTATTCTTGTGATGGCAAAGCTGAATTTTCAGCATCATTACTCCAGTCTTCAGTGTCACATGATCCTTCAGAAATCATTCTAATATGCTGATTTGGTGCTTCAGAAACATTTCTAATAGTTCTTGATTTTGAAAAAAAGTGATTTTTTATTTTTTTTTTTTCAGGATTCTTTGATGCATATAAAGTTAAAAGAATAGTATATATTTGAAACATTATCTTTACTTTTACTTTTCCATCAATTTAATGCATTCTTTGCAAAATATATATGAATAAATATTAATTAATTAATTTGTAAAAATTTATTCGTACTGACCCTGATCTATGTTATTTATATGAAAAAAATAACAGAAAAAATAACTGTACAAGTCTGGAATGACATGAAGGTCAGAATTAGCATTTTCGGGTGAAAAATCCCTTTTACATAACATGCAGTGTATATGTATATATATATCAGTATTCCTTCATTAACAACTACTAGATTTCAAATCATGCAAGGAAGAGTCTGTTTATGTGTGTTTATTTTTGAGTGTAGGAGTGTGAGCATAAGCACATTGCAGACAGTCTCACCCTGAGCGGAGAGCTCCAGCGGTGACTCAAACTTGACAGAATAAGGCCTCATCAGGTTCTTCAGTTTCTGGAACAGCTGTTGGCACATGATAAGCCAAGACATTAATAATCCGCTTTTTTTCTCCCCCTCACACAGCTCTCTCGCTCTCTCCTTCACTCGCTCTTTGACTCGAGGAGGTTAGTTAGGGATAATGGCAGCATCCGTGTTTGTGGCCCTGGATAAATCTCACACGGGCAACGGGAAAGGCAAACGAGAACCTTCAAAAGAACCCAGTTAAGATCTTAACATCCATGCAACGCTCTGAGAGGCTTCAGAACCCAGACAGAGATTAAAGATGAAGTTACAGATACAGAGTTTCTCTTCCGGCTCACCCTGCGAAGGAAGCCAGTGCCTTACAGAGTGGATAAAAATGAAAATATGAGCACAGCGCTAAGGGGGTATGGGGTATAACACAAACAAATGCTGCAATATTCATAGAGTTCCCATTTGAGATAAACGTGCATTGATATTAACTCGCGAAGGCCAAATTCTGTCGGAAGATAACCCAGCATGTGTTCACAAACTCACACAAGTAAGTCATCCTCCGTGTGTCAATCACAAGAACGCACGTGAACACAATTCTCGGGAATGGTGGCGCCTCTTGGGCAATGACACACGGCGAATGAGATTTACGCCAAACCCGTCTCCATAGAAACGCATTCGTACATTCACGTACATTCTACTGAACAATAGTAATATATTTCTGCCGCAATGGCTTCAAGTTAAACCAAACTTTTATTTTGACGGGTTGCTGTGAATACCTTATGTTTCTGTGTGTATATGATATGAGGATAGTTTTACTCAAATGAAATGGTCAAATGGTCATGAAGTGACTCTCAGAGCAGTTCTGGAGATGTTGTTCATGTATTTATGTCCTCCTGAGTGAGACGACAGACGTTAAAATCACCGCAAGCATTACGCGCGCTTCAGTACAAGTGGTTAACAAAACCACACGTCTGCGCCATTCATTAACACAGAGACACGAAGAATTCATATTCAAATAGTCGTTTTGCGGCTTAATATTTACAAATACTAGTGGGAGTGGGAGTGTGCTCACTTGTGTGTGCGCGCACATGTGTGTGTGTGTGTGTGTGTGTGTGTGTGTGTGTGTGTGTGTGTGTGTGTG